ATCCCTATAAACCCCTATATAATCCCAGTTTCCATTTCATTTTCCATTGTCTTTTCCCTTTGATTCTTCATTATAGTAGTTTCCATTTGATTTTCCATTATCCCCATATAACCCCTAAACCCTAAACCCTAAACCCAGAAAGGTGTCCTCAGAAGGCTCTCGTTGGCGGCGATCGCGGCCCTCGCTTTCATCGCGCTCCTTTTCCTCACAAGGTATCTGAAGAAGATATTGAGACTTGGATGATTCAAAAGACGTTTGTGGGGTTGTAGGGAAATGAATTGTAATTGCTAGGGCTGGTGCAGGATTTAAAGGGGATTTTGAAGGGAGATATTTGGGATTTCTGGGGCTCCAAAAAGGGGGTTTCTGGACTTGCAAGGATTCACGGGAAGTCATTCGGAGCTAGTCTCGCTTTTAGCATTGGGACTTGGGGGATTTGAAGAGAGTTGGGACTTTGGGTGGATAATGTGGTTCTTAGCATTTCTGAAATCGCCAGGGAGTGATCGTTCTTTGGACTCTGAGAGTTCAACAAGGTTATTCGAATAATGTGGTTCAATCGCTGTCAATGTGGTTCAACCAGGCTGAACAGGTTAGCACAATCATTTTATGCGGTGTTGAGTCAGGGGCCTCTAGGCCCCTCAGAAACCCTGCGCTCTTCAGATGGCGCAAGACCTCGAGGCGTGCAAAGAGCTTGGCGCTTTGCCACAACACTTAATTCAGCACCAAAGAATGAACCCCACGGCAATAAAATATACATACATGTATCTCTACATGGCCTCTCTAGATCTCAGGCCCCTCAGCCCGGCACCTACAACCCGAGACTCGCAGCAATGAATGCTGATGTCCAATGCTGAACATCAGCACAAAAGCCATTAATCCAAACTCCAACTATGTCCATCTGGCGTTGTGCCCAAAATGCTGCTCCCCCGAGCCTCTCGGCCCTTTCGCTTTTCCGGGCTTTCTGCCTTTCGCCGGTCCTGCATTCAGCAAGGGCTTACAAAACAGCTTCCAATGCTCGGCCTTAAGAGAAGAAGCCCAAGTGCGGAATCCAAGTATTGCAGGGCTTAATGGGGGAATAGTACTGGAGCATCAAACGGAAAATGAAAAATGAGCTAAACTGAAGGTTTGTTGGGGGGCTCGGTGGCTTAAGCTGGCCAGCTTAGGACCGAGAAACGCGATTCGGAGCATTCTACCTTCCGTGGTCCGCCAAAACAAATCACAAGCCTCAGTTCACAAGTTCGGAGATATGAATACAGCTACAGCTGCTTAGTAACCTAACAGTCTTGTCAGGTAAGCCAAGCCCTGAAACAAAAGGCCCTCGGCGCTCAAAGAGATATCACCCCCCAAGACATGACGAGATATCTAGGGTTTGAATTTCTACAAGTTTAGGGTTGTGAGATTTTGGGGGGTTCAGGGTTCCGGGCTTTAGATTTTGGAATTTTAGGGTTTAGGGACGTCAGCAGACTTCACGAAAATAACGCTACTGATGCAAAATGCTCCTAGCCTTTCCTCAAATTTCAACCCATGGCAAGCGGTTTAAGTCATGGGTTTCCCTGCCACCTGCCCTTTCAGGCCCAATAACTTCAAAAAAGAAACCTAATTGAGGGGGAACTTTGGCGGGGGGGGGGGGGCGTAGTATAGAGGGGGTAGCAGGGAAACCTAGGCTTAGGGTCCATTCCATGTCCAG